GAACTTATAGTAATGTAAGGTTTTTACAGATTTTAAAATATCTTGATTCTGTTCAGTTTGGCGAACTTCGATAAAAGTTTAGACAACAAATCGAGACAAAAAAAGAAATAATAGGACTGCAGAAAATTTAGTTGTAGGAAAAAGAAGAGTCAGCAGAATTAAGAAGCCAAAGAAGATTCAAGGACCCCGCTTACACCCTATGGGAAAGTGATCAATGTGATAATTCCCTGAATTTTTTTTATTGTTTAGAAATCTTCCTGATTAAAAGTTATCATTGCAAATCCAATAATCAATAGTTTTAATCACGAAGACTTCCTCTAAACAATATGAAAAATTCAAGGAATTTCCACTTAGATCAGTTTTCCATCAGGTTTGAGCGGGGTCCTTTGAATGCAAAACATACTGGAGCCTGAAAAAAAAATGGATTTATTTAGTGCTTTACAGAAAACGAACGGAGTGCGAGATTGACTAACATAGATTTCGTATTTTTTGTTGTTTTTACTGAAATATTTTTTTAGTTTTGCTGACAGTTGTGGCATAAATTGTAGCTCTTTATTGTAATAGACGAATTTTTCGACCAATTATCCAGTGGTGCAAAATTAAAAGTATGCTTTCAAATTCGAAAGATGGAATATTTATGAAGTATCTAAAGATCATCTGGCTGAACTTACAACTCTAATTATAAATAAGTATACCGTTCATTTTTGAAAAAAAAAATATATGTTTTAAGATCATGCATGATAAGTCGTCATCGAAAAAATATAACAGACCTTCTAAAGCTACAAACACAATTGCTTGTTCCATCTCGATATGTTTTGGATTCATTTCTATTATTAAAGAAATAGTAGCTACATTTGTCATTTATTATTCCTTAATTTCACTAAGTTATTCTAATAAAATAAATCTCTTGATTATTTGAACTCTAGACTATCTGGGAGTGATTTGGAGTAATGAGTTTGTTTTTGGTTCTCTCTACCTGATTGTTTAAATAGTTTTTGGTCCCACCATGAGTCCGCGTCATTTTCATTTGTTGACCTGAAATATATTCTCGCTATTTCTAAGAAATATGTACAGTATGATTTTTTAAGTGTGCAACATATGGGGATTTTTTTTTTGTAATGGCGCAATCAAAATACAAACAAGGCCAAAAGTTGGTGCATGTCTGATAATCATATTAGGTGCACTTAGAATAGTTGCAAGTCAAACAGCATACAGGGTAGCTCAAACAATATCAAAGCTGTACTGTAAAGTACCCTTATTTTAGAAAATTTAGCAAAATGTTATAGAGAAAAGTTGTTTGGAATTAAAAGTTATGCCTAAATACCAAAACATAGCCCCCTAAGATTTTTTTTATTTTCTTTTGAAAAAAATCTATAATTTCTATATTTTTTTTATTTTTTATTCCCGCCCTTAATACTTTCAAAAATTAATTAAAATTAAATCAATTTTACATAACTTTGTTCAAATTCAAGCATATTTGTAAAATTAACTTAGATTTTCAATTTTTCATGGAATCACAAAATTCATGTTTGTTGCAATGATATTCAACACAACTTTAAAATGTCGCAGTTTTTTTTTTTAACACGTTAAAATATTACAAATGATAATAGCCATATTAAAAAAGCTCTCCTTAAAGTGCAAAAGTTTTATTTTTATTTATATATATTGTTTGAGCTACCCTGTATGCTGTTTGACTTGCAACCATTCTAAGTGCACCTAATATGATTATCAGACATGCACCAAATTTTGGCCTTGTTTGTATTGTGATTGTGCTATTACTAAAAAAAAATCCCATATGTTGCACACTTAAGTAATGACACTGTATATATTTGAAATTGCGACACCAACCGAAGATTTCCTTGATTATCGGGGTCATGGATATCATAAAAATGTGAGGCCACAGGTATCAAATGGGGTGATGGTAAATTCGGTCCCAGCAGGTAGCAGAATAAATTAAAAATTTTATACCCTTTTATGGATGAGTAAATTCGGTCCCAACCATGTCCATTGCTAAGGGTTTTACATAAAGCAGGCAAGCTTTATCGATTGTAGTTTGGAAGATAAATTAGATTTGAAGAAATTAGAAAGTTTTGGATGTGACTAAGTACTATGCTTGAAATCAATTTCATAAAAGGGCAGAAATCGAAAAGAAACCAAAAAAAGAAAATTTTGTGGGACCGATATGATTTAGACTCGCCTTGCTATAGGATCTACATTCCCGAAATGATATTGTTAGTTCTTCAAGGCTTGCAGGCACTCGCTAGTGACGTCGTATAATTTGTTCAACTGACAATGTTATTTTTGATGCGAAAATCAAGATTGACAGAGATACATTCTGGAAATCTAGAAAAAAAATACTGAGCATGAAAGTGATTCGAACTCAGATAATGAGTCCAGTAAAAGTTCCGAAAATGATGAGCCTATTGAAAATCAAACGCAAATCAGATTACGTGATCTTTAAAATCACCTACAAAAACTTATTATTTTATTATGGATTGCCCATGGATCAGACCGATGATTCGAAGACGATCCACTGGAAAATGCCAATCTTGAGACTTGTGACTATATTCACGTCACAGTACTAGTACGTTAATTACGTCAGTCATACATATTATATTCTACAACGATTCTACTCTTTTGTTGACTTGTCATGCATATCATTGTCGATTGTCATGCAGAAACGCTTTGTCGTTGTAATAATAATATCGTCTGTGGTGTCTTGTCTGGATGATTATAAAGAATTAACTATAAACAATGGTCTGATATATTATCAAGGAATGTTATTTTGTCCTAATTAGGATTAGTCAGTATTGTCTGTATTAGTAATTAGTAGTATTGTGAGGAGTGAAGGGCTTGAAAAGGTATATAAACATGTCATTTTATTTGTTTAGGTGCCAGGAGATTTATTGTTGTTTCTTGTTCCATCATTGTTGCGTATACCCTATTTTTCAGCGATTCCGCACAAACCGAGAGTCGCAGTGCGAATCATAAGCGTATCCAGGATTTTTGCTTGGGGGGCTGTGTTAGGTAACAAAAAATTTTGACCAAAAAAAAAACCGCCGCAGTTGAAAAAAAAATTTGAAGCCGCGCAGCCACACCCAATTTTTGTCAGGAATTCACCTGTAACCCAAAGGTTACGCGCCTATTCTTTTTTGCGAAAAAATATTCGCATCGGGCCGCGGGCTTGTCATTGACAATTGACATACTGACTGACTACAGCCGGATTTATAAACTTTTACATCAAAATCAAATAACAATGGTTTTAAATTAAGTAAATACGGATAAATAAAAACCAATTACCCTACCCAGGTAGGCCAGATGAATGAACAGACGACAGACGAAAGGTTGAATTTGTTACGCATTCGTGGTCAAATGACCTGGATACGTGTTTTCATTGGATAGACGCTCCAACGCGAGCGCGAACTTGAAAATTGCCCATCTGGCATCTACCAGCGCGAACTTGAACGCGAGCGCAAAAAAAAAAGTCTAGACTTGCCTTGGGAGGGAGCTGCAGCCCGGCAGCCCCCCCCCCCCCCCCCCCTGGATACGCCTATACTTAGTGCGAGTAATGATTAACCATTGAGAAGTTACAACTCAATAACAACAACAACAACTCAAACACAACAACAAACAACTCAACAACAATAACATCCAAGACACCTTCAAGACATCTCAACAACAACAACATCTCCAAGACATCTCAGCAACAACAACAACTAGAAATGGTGGATGCAGGGGATAATAAAAAAATTAAATTGATTAACTATTGTTTATTGCTAACTGTAGGAAATCGAAAAAAATTTATATGTACGCATTTTTTTATTTTGTCCAAATATGATTATTACCAAAGTTATAGAAATATTAAGTTTTGTATATATAGAAATACTGAGCATGTGTGACGTCATATAGAGTATGAAAAATAGCACATTTCAAAGTGTTGTATCTCCGTCAATTTTTGTCCAACAAGAAAAAGAAAAAACACGGGTTGACTTATTTTTCATCGACTAATGAAAACAAAAATAAAAAAAATTGAGTCCAGTTCCCCATTATATTACTGTTAGTGAGGAAATTATTGCTGTCTGAATTTCTATGATGGCCGACATTTTTAGAAATTTTGTTCCCCGAAGGGGATTTTTCTGGGGTGAGTCGGGAGATGCCATACAATATATAACAGGTAATTTTTTTCTGTCAACAGCCAAAACTTAGTGTAATATTTCTATTGCAGATCACGAATGAGCTTGTATTGGCTTCGGCATTTCAATATTTGCCACGACTTCGCCAATAAGTCAATAATATGAAAGTATAAACGATTTTACTGCTTCCAAGGGCTTCCGGGTCCTGGTCTTTTGCGGGAACACTTTTACATTATTTGATCCTGGCCGAACTTGATGGAATGGTGTATTATTGATGCATGCACTCCGCATGTACTTTTACTACCACCTTTGAAGCGACTCACATTGTCTATTTAATCCTTAGAGCAGGTAAAGGTAAAGGAGTAGTAACATGGTGTTGGCAAATGAAGCCGTTTTTTTTTCAGGTACTTTGGCACCAAAAAATGGCGGTATAGGCGATTCAATGCTTTACCTGTATTTGGTGCCAAACAGCTCCCAAAAACTTGGCTTCACTTTAGTTTCATAGCAGAGTGGCGCGTTCCTACTCCCTATGTCCGTAGGACAGCGTTTTACCTGCTCTAAAATTAAATCTATAGAATACAGGATTTTCCACGATCGGATCCAGTTCAGTTCAGTCATCGTTTGCTAGAGGCCAGGCTAAGCCAGCACACAACCGTTGATCACAGAATACATAAATACCATTAGTAAATTCCACGAATTGGTCAAACCAAATTCCGTAACAGGAAACATCTAATAAATGTGAGATATCTCATAATAAAATTATTGAAATTGAAACAATTTCGAAATATATCATCCTTTTTTTAAATGAGAAATAAATTAAAGTACAATTAGGTAGTGTAGGTAATAATAAATTATGTAGGTACCTACCTTTGATTGTTTCATCTCGAAGCGCTACATAATGGAATAAATTAAAGTATAGCATTTTACATATTTATTTATTGATTTACTTACCTGCCTTAGTTATTTTTCCCCTATTTAATTATGTTTATTTATGCTTTGTAGGTATTTTTAGTTGCCTTTCAAGCTTGTCAAAGATTTTTTAAACTACAAAAATTATAAATGCATAGGTCCTGAAGTACTGAACTTAATTAAACAAATAAATCACGCAAATGTTATGAAGATGTCATCGCACATCAGTACTACTTATGGTCAATATGTCCCCAAATTGACTTCTGTTTGACCCTTGAAATAGAGGTAGGAACCCTATGGGTTTAAGAGTGAAATTGTTTATATAAATCTATACCTGAACTGAACAACCAAAAAAAGTTTGAATTCAATTTCGAAGATCCTTTATTCTTTAAATTTCCCTCCCACAGTTTTGGGTATTCGTGTCTATAGCATTCGGACAAGTTCGTGAGGCAATTCACTGGAAAACCGCTTACCTGATATGTCGCTAGCATCGTCATCGTTAGTATATGTATTGAGTTGTCGAAGTCGGTCCTTCGAGCCGGATAGCGAACAATTTTTAAAAACAGATTTTTGAAATATAAATAAAAACAATACATTTCGTAAGACACGGTAGTGAAAGGACATTGTAAGTGTGTGCAAAAAACTATTTCGCATAGTGCAAAGTTGATATTCACGTGGAATTTTCGCCTTGAAGAGGTCTTCTTGTTGGTATTTACCATAATCAAAGATGCACCATGACCAGAACTGGATTTAAGGCTCTCTAGTGGGCACACATAAAATAGTGCTGCGAAAACTTATGAAGAGTGAAAATCTTCAGATTTTTCCAACTTATGGGGTAAAGTACCTTTATACCCTTTAAGGTAAGAATTTTAGCGCCTTATTCTTACTTTCGCAAATATTATACCTATTTTTTTCAATTATATTTTTTTATTACTTATACAGAACATAAAAACAGTTTTACTTTAGGTAAATAAAAAATTCCAACATTTCCGCTATTTTGCAATTTAAGATCGTAAGATTAATATGATTTACGATTTACCAACAATACAGTCGATTATGATACCTGCATTCCTTCACATAGCGGTGATTTCATCCAGTGGCTTGAAGCATCTTATCTTTTCAGCGTTGATATTAAAATCGGATAAAATATGTAGGTATGGTATTTTTATCTTTTTATAACATGTAATTATAAACTCTCCAACATGCAAGTGCAAGTAATGTTAATTTTCACAAGAAAAGAAATTACCTGCAAACTACAAAACATTTTAAAATTTATAATATTGGTTAGTCTTGAGGTTACTCCCTTCTCCCTATATGTGTGTTGATGTTAATTAGATAGCTACATTCCTACTAATTCCTACAACATTTTGTAGGTATAATTATTTATCTTCAAAATTTAACGCGCAGATTAATAGATCTCATTCTATCTAATACTAGATAGGTAATTGATAAAAATAAAAAAAAATAAAAAAACAGTAGACCTTATAAGCCAAGAAAATAAGAAGTCTGAAAAACTGGGTTATTAAGCTTGGTTTATTTCGGAAAACTTTTCGAAGGATTGAGTTGTAGGTAAAAGCAGAGTTAGGTCAGTCAAGGTAGGTATATCAATCGCTTGAATAGCCGCTAGTCGCGATCTCAAATATCCACGCGAGTAGTATTTACCTTTAGGTAGGTAGGTACTAAAACAACCATATGGGCTAGTGTCATGGTGTCAGGTGTTACCTGGGTGTTGAGAATAAACAACGTACGTCTCATTCATACAAACTCAAATTAGTTCAAGATTGGTATTTAGGAGCATTAACTTTGCAAATTTCCCTTGACGATGGAGACATTCCTGAATATATAAATATAATTATCCTTATTATTTAATAGGCAATATAACTAGATAATTTTTTGGGTTTTTCGAGGGGAATGTGATACCGAAAAGGAACATCTAAGTTTAATCTTAGTGTAGATAAGTACTCACTCATTGGCACCGTGGTAATTTCCCGTCGGCTTCAGGTATTTGATCGAGCTGGGACTGGGACTTCATGGTTCCCTGTCCTTTCCCCGATGTCTTTACCAAGATAACATGCTCTATGCTCTCTCTGTGTGGCTAATAATAATATGGTTGGACTACTTACTTGCTGGCCAATGTACCTATGACTTTCCTTATCGACCTTATCGTAGGAAGCCCCAACCGTGACGAAATATTGAATCGGAGCATGAAAAAAAAATTCGGCTTTACTGATTTTCCAGCCGAATATCCTGCTCAACAACTCGTTGAGAAAGAATACTCAGAAATACTTGTAAAAACTGATTAGTTGGGTTAATATTAATCTTTTTCTCTGGTAACTTGAGTTGGTCCTGTATATCAAAAACCCATTAATTAAACTACAACACGGTTTATCAACAATCAGCGGTTTAAGCAGGTCAACGTGTAAACTGATGTTTACACGAAATGGATATAAAAACCGATGCAACCCATGGTATCGGCATCCATTCCAGTCTTTCTCTTCTCAGGGTCTCCTTACCCCAGGTGGCCGATCCTCGGGCCAGGGAGTAGAGCTCCCCGATAGAACGAATGTTTTGTCCTTGTCAACGTAATCGAAAAGTAAATGAGAATGATAAGGACGACAATTTTGTTCTCTCGGGGAGCTCCACTCCCTGGCTCGAGGATCGGCCCGCAGGAAGTAGCATTAATCCCTTTTGGTTCACATCTCTCTCTTCAGGGTCTCCTTACCCAAGGGAGCAGTAGCTACACGCTACAGGACGTCTCTTCAGGGTCACCTTACCCCAGAGAGTCTTGGAGCAATCCCTTTTAGGGCATCGCCGCTATATACGTGCGGGAACCAGTTGCACCCCCGTATAGATACATAATATAGCTCCCAAACGCAAGAGTCATGTGACATACCTACATAGTATCCCTTTGGTAATGTACCCACTAGGAAGTAATATACGATAAGTGCCTTTTGTAGTTGTGTGTTTTCCTGAAGAGCAACCCCCAACCTAAGGTCTAAGGTCCTACCCACATTAGCCGCGAGGCGTGTGACAATATTATAATTAATTTTTCCTCAATGGAGTTGAGTAGCATCACGATTTGATATCTCAATACTTGTAGCAGTTTCAATAGCTTTTTTTAAAGTTGGTTTTCATTAATCAATATGTTCCTAACTTTATCCAAAAACACTGAACTGCTTTTTTATAGTAGATTTCGAATTTACACGTTTCTGCTAATTTCCGCTAAACAGCAATATATTCGTGCACAGTCTCCCTGTTCTGCTATTTTCATTGTAAAAATCTGAAAATTTCAGCAATTATTAATTGTTTAGGATTGGAATGTAACTGCATGATTCCTACTTTTCTCTACATGTTTGTTAACAAATCAGGCATTTTCGGAGAAATTATATCGCATAGCGGATTTCTGAATGGGTGTAGTACCGAGGACGCCATGCACAAATTGCTAACTGAAGTCGTGGATAATCTAAACTCAAAAAAAAAATTTTTAACTGTATTTCTGGACCTTGCCAAGGCCTTCGATACTGTGCCTCATGATGAGCTTATCAATGTGCTTGAAAGATATGGAATAAGAGGAGTAGCTTCACAGTTGTTTAGAAGCTATTTGTCAGAGCGACTTCAAATGGTCAAGTTAAATAACACCTTGAGTAATAAACAAAAAATAAAAATTGGCATTCCACAAGGAACAGTCTTGGGACCAGTACTTTTCATAGCATACATCAACTCATTATTGAGGTTGCAGGTCGAGGGCGTAACTGTATCTTATGCCGATGATATGGCTCTGGTTGTCTCAGGAGATACCTGGGATAGTGTAAGGAATAAGACCGTGAATAGTTTGGCGAAAATTAAGAACTGGCTTCAATCTTATAAGCTAACATTAAACTTAGCAAAAACGAACTACATAGCATTTTCACTTTCTGGTGCAAACAGACCACAATATGATTCCATCGTCGTAGATAACCATTGTATTAAAGAAACTCCATCAACGTAATACCTCGGAATTGTTATTGATAAATTTCTTAAATGGCAACCACATATTGATTATGTTTCCAATAGAATTCGCAAACTCATTCATAAGTTTTATTTATTGAGAGAATTTTTAAATAAAAGAACGCTTATAATAGTTTATAAAGCATTTGTAGAATCAATAATAGGATATGGAATATTGGTGTGGGGTGGACTTTATAATAACAGCCTGTACAGGGTGGGCCAATTTGGACACTTTCTTATGGAAACACCCTTTATTTTTAGAGATAGAAAAAAATGAACCCTCCACTCTGAGGCTCAAATTTCATGAAATTTTGATTGGTGCAAACCGCATTTTGATATCTTTAACCGTTTAGCCGCTAGAGGGCGATTCTCGATTTTAAGCAATACTGTGAAACCTTCATAACTTTTTTATTTATGGAAATAATTCATTTCTGTAAAGACTTTCTGGAAGAACTTTTTTAAGTGGAATTCAGTGACGTTCTCAGTTTTTTTTCTATTTAGCTCCGAGAGAGAGATATTGACCAAAATCCGATTTGTTTCAATAGGACATCCTATATATTAATAGCTCATTGAAAAGCTCTGCTTTTGCTGATTTCAATGATATAAAATTCAATAGGTTTATCTCCAACGGTTTCCGAGAAAAAAATTATTTCGATTTTTGTCATAAGACACAATGTGTTGGAGAAGGACTTTATATCTGTAAGGAAAACGAGAAAGGTCTCTTTCTAACACATTGTTTCTTATGACAAAAACAGAAATAATTTTTTTTCTCGGAAACTGTTAGGGATAAACCTATCGAACTTTATATCATTGAAATCAGTAAAAGCAGAGCTTTCCAATAAGCTATTAATATATAGGGTGTTCTATTGAAAAAAATCGAATTTTGGTCAATATCTCGAAATCCGAGTCAATTAGAAAAAAACTGAGAACGTCACTGAATTCTTCTTAAAAAAGTGCCTCTAGGAAGTCTTTACGGAAATCAATTATTTTCATAAACAAAAAAGTTATGAAGGTTTCACAGTATTGCTCAAAATCGAGAAACGCCCTCTAGCGGCTAAACGGTTGCTGAGCCTCAGAGTGGGTTGTTCATTTTTTTCTATCTCTAAAAATAAAGGGTGTTTCCATAAGAAAGTGTCCAATTTGGACCACCCTGTACAAATTGAACATAATACAAAAATATATAATAAAAATTATTCTCAAAAAAAATAGATTGTATCCTACACATTTGCTTTTTGACAGAGACATTTTTAACATTCGATCAATATTATATTCTCAAAGTTTGCTCCTATATACACACTCGACCTAACATGAAAATGTTAGTTGATCATACTTATGAAACAAGATCGAGGTGCGACAGGCAAATTAAACTACCAAATTAAAGTACTAATAATCTTAATCTAAGATACATAAATTATTTTGGCCCTAAACTGTACAACCTATTGCCACAGGAAGTAAGAAATTGCTCTTCAATAAGAAGTTTTAAAATTTTAAGTAAAAATGTTATTTATGAGAGTCTTCATCAATTTGAAAGGTTTTTTAGCTAAGTGTTCCGTGGTGTTTGTAGGGCAGACTTTATTGTCTGCATGTTTGTGTGGGACTGATAAATTGTAAAACCAACCAATATGTGAACTGTTACTTTGTTATTTTTCTTTTTTTTCCCTCTCTTGCTCTTAATTCTTAATGTACACTTAAATTATAAAAACTACAAATACAAATAAAAACACTGCTTAGCGATGCTGCACATACAGATGTTTCACATCTAGGTGCTTATAGAAAAAAAAATATATATAGAATAATTTAAAAACTAGCTAGATAACTTATGTACAATTGTTGGATGTTAGATATAAGAGAAATAAACTCATTTTCTGGAAGA